TACGTTTGTCATGTGCAGTTTGTACCCTGTGAGCCATAGGCGCATTTACCACACTACTTGTTTAGCCGAATGTCGTTAAGGGATTTAAAGAAAATATTTCTTGTGTGAAATAATCAAAATAACATAACTGGATTTTGTTACGAATGCTAGAAAATGGTCGGTTGGGCAGGGAAAAAATAAGAGAAATGGACAAATATTAGCTACCAAACTTTTGGTATTTAGGTCGGCCAATATGTTTTCAGTGTTCAAGATAACGTTATCATAATGAAATAGTAGGCCTAATTTAACATGGCTTTGCGCCAAGACAACAACTTTATATGTTTTACTAGTTACGACGTTGTTAACATCTGCAGCAGTTAGGCCTAACATTTTATCTTAATAAAGTTTTCTTGTGCACCGAAAAACAACTATCGACCTTTTAATTTTTCTTAATAGATAATATCGTTATTAAATACAATTTTTTTTTTTTCGTAGACTGTCTACTGAGTGATTTGTTTTAATGAACGACTACTTCGTTAGATATCATAAAGTCATAAGTTTGATCTAGACCTGAAATATTGATGTTGCTGTTAATTTATTTTCTTCGCCGAAACGTGAACTTAAGATGGTGTTGAGGCCTAATCTGTTTTTTTATTGGCTACTTCCGTTGCAGCAGACTAGTTTCGCTGAATTCACAGCTTATCAGTGCTGCTTGGAAGAGCGAAGCAAATAAGTAAAGTAGGCCTCATATGGTGGTGGAATGTAAGCAGTTTGCTGAATGATAATTAATTGTGATGATATGTCACATGTTATCCAAACAACTAAATTATTTTAGATTATTAGTAGTGAATAAAAGACTATATATCAAGCCAAAACAAACTACCGTATTTTTCGCTGTATAAGACGCACTTTTTACCCCAAAATTTGATGGCAAAATCTGCTTGTGTCCTATACACCGAAGGTATGAGTAATATATATATGTATACACAAGCCATGCGTAAATATATTTAAATAGGAATGCATAGTTTAGTTCAATTGAATGTATTATTTATAACAATAATAGTTTTTTTTCTTTTGAAACATAAC